TCTACTAATGAGTCAAACTCATATGAGGTCTCCTGCAGTTGTGTAAGTAACGCTGAAGTCGTTCCCAAACTCATCCCGAGCAGTCACGAGAAGCCTGCAGAGAGCTTTTTGCATAGTTTTGCTCCCAGTTGCCATATCACTTCAGCTAGAACTGTGTATCCTCTTGCTGTTTCCACCAAGTTGTGCAAGCCCGTGGTGGAGGACAGCTGCTTAAAGGTAAAAGCTTTGCAGCAGGTCTGTGGCAGTTTTAAGAAATGAGAATTTCTTGTTTTCACTTGCGTACCTGTGTGCACACCTGCGGCTAAAATCGAGGTACCAGTCTCTGGATTAGGAGTTAAACAGTTTAATTATAGTCGGTTGAGGAAAAAGTTCCCACATGCAAGTAAAATAATTTTAAAAACCCCCAAACAAACAACCTGCAGACACAAGTCTGGGGCTTAGGAAGTGGCTTTTTTTAAGCCATATATTAGTCAACTTACTTGGCATTATGCAGTTTTAAAACTCGGTAAGGGGAATTAACAGGCGGAAAGCTGTCAGTTTTGTTGTTTCACCAGAGCTGATGGTCTGCAGCTAAACCAGTAAGTGTTCCTGTATACATCCTTGGTTACTTTTTTCCACAATTTAAGAGCAGCTGCAAATGTTTTTGTGAGTTGGAGCAGGGATGAAGCCGATGTTCATCACTTCAGGTTTTTGATGTGATCCCCTAGTGTGAAAATACACATATAAAATCTTAATCCCCATGGAAAACTGAGACAGTGACAGTAGAAAATTAGTGGTGCTTTAATCCAGATTATGATTTATTGTGCTTCAATTTCTAGCATCCAGGCCTTCATCCTCGAGTACCCTTTTCAGGTAGTCTGTACGTACAGATTTGTTATCTCCACGTAAATCTTGGCTTTTTTTCGGGCCTCGTGCTGGGCTTTTGTCTCCCCTGTCAAGCCAGCAGGGCTCCTGGTGGATTCTCACCCTTATCTGGGAAGGCGTGTGACCAGCAGTGACATGGCTTTCTGCAGAGCAGGTGGCATTGTTCAGCGCGGAGCTGGCCCGCAGCCCGCAGCCTTCTGCTGCTGGAGGGGCAACGCCAGGCTGAGCTCGGGGCTCGCGCGCACTGGGAGCTTAATGGGGCGACTGGGTGGTACGTCGGGGTGTGGAAACCCTCCTGCGTGGGCGCTGGTGGCCTGTAAGGAAGGGGCATCCGCTGGCGGTGCTGCGAAGTCCATCCCGATGGGGAATTATTTCAGCCTACCTGGTGCTCTGTGAATTTGCACCCCGACCTCCTCGCTGAGCTCTCTGGGCAGGCAAGCCAGGAGGAGGCTTCTACTTCTGCCTTCCTCGTTTGTCCCTTCGACCTTGTCTCCCCTTAGAAAAGCCAAAGCTTTTTCCCCAAGCTCTCTGTGACCAGCCGGTCATTAATTTCAGGTTAAGTCACTGGGAATTCTGCTGTCTCTCCCAAGGTACTAATTCCTAAATTAATGATGATTTTCATCTTTGGCGTGGCACCCTAAATACCTGCTAATTATCTGTCTCCTTCCCTTACTCAAGTGAAGAGACTGACCTATATCTACTCAGTGCACAGGAAGGTGCAACACTGGTAATGCTCATAAAATAGTGGGAAAACTTCTAAATTCTTTGTCAAGATGGATATTTTGGAGCTCTGTTTCTCCGTATTGTTTACCTGGTTAGAAAAGTGTGTATTCTTCTAGCTTTTGTCTGACTCTGGTAACTGCAAGTTGAGCTCTGACGAGGATTTTATCTCCTTGGCTGTGTGTGACGAGACCTCTCTTGATTTAGTAGCGACGCTGCTTGAATGGCGCTGAAGGATTTGTGCAGGCGAGCCTTGCGGTGTGCAGCTCACGGCTAATGCTGGCTGAAGAGGGATATGTGGGAGCTCAGTCATTTGTTGGGTGATGCGAGGAAATGGTAGTTAAATTCGTACAGAGCAAATTCTGATGTCAATAAAAGGAAAGAACTCCCATGTCTTCCCGCTGTTGTCGCTGGTCAGACCTTCCTGTTTGCCTCGTCTCCGGCGATATTAAACACTCCGTTTCACTTTTATCGGTTGGCTGCAAAGTAGCTGCTTCTCCCCACTTCTTTCCCCTTCTCCTTTCACTCCCCCTTGCCTCACCATTTCTTTTTGATTTACTGGCTGCCTTATGCAGAAGGGAGGACCAGCACACTCGGCTGGCGCGTCTTCGAAACGGTTAAAAGAGATAAGAGATGTGTTTGGGTTGGCAAACCCCCCGGGCCGTGGAGCCGAGGTGCTGGGCCGCGCAGAGCTGTGTATTCTGTGTTCAGAGGCCAAAAGTCCTGCTGCCATGGGAGTCAGCCAGAGTGCAGCATCGAAAATGAAGTTTCTTCAAAGCTGCCTGTTCCGAGCTCGGGGATTTAAGCTGGAAGAACAGAGGGTCTCTCATCTGGTGGTATCTGCTTGCACAGAGCCTACGTTCTAATAAAGGGGAAATCCTTACTGATCTGAGATTCCTGTGGGAACTTGCAGTTTGACCAGCGTCAGCAGCTTGATGAGCAGTTCTGGTTAATAATTAGTCAAGCGATATCCTAATATGAGCTTTCGGTAACTGCTGAGGCATTGATCTGAGCAGTGCTTCAGAGGTTGCGTGCTGTTTACAGCAGATGAAAATCCCTTTCCCCAACTCATTATTTTTAATCTATCCCGTTACTGCTAGTCAGTCAGTCCTGCGACTCGGCACTGCCCCTCGTGGCATTCGCCCCGAGGCGTTTCGCGGAATGAACGGCTCCAACCGGCCAAGGCAAACAAGCGGGAGAGACAACAGCAGAAAGCCGTGTCGGCGCTGCCGAGTGAGGAAGGGAAGTCGGGATCCGAAGAACCTCCAGAGCCTAAAATCCCAGAACTGCAGAGTCTCGCGTATGAAAGTCACCAACCGGCACCTGGCCCTGGCCCTCGGGGCGCGAGCTGGGAAGGGAGGTTCACGCAAAGGGCTGAGACCAGCAAAGCCGGCTCGGGTAGAGTCGTCTTTTCCTGGGACTGCAGTGAAAAACCAGTTCAGGCGTCTCTTACCTGGGTGTTTTTGACCCTTTGTTTCATGACACACAGGCAGCATACCTATTTGATGCACCGTTGCACCAGGCTGTTAAAAGATCTCTGGTATCGCAGGGCTTGACGTGCTGCTGGAGGGATCGGACTGAACGAGGTTGGTGTCCCGTCGGACTGACGGCTGCTCTGAAGGGGCTCGTCAGGCGTCCCTGGGAAGGACGGGGTAGCACGAAGGGAGGACGTGCAGCCGGTTAGCTTCCATGTTAAAAAGGCACAGCGTTTCCGTGGTTTGTGGCAAAACCTTAGACTTGACCTCGCTGTGTTTAATGCCTGACCGCGTATTCGGGAGCCTAAACAATGCGGTTATAGGAGCTGCGTTCTGGCAAGCTCCTACGCGTTAGACTACAGAGTACATGATTTATTGTATAGGAATATTTCATCTTGTGATCTTGGCCAATAAGCCTTTTATTGGCTTGTATTTCTAAACCCTAGTCGTTGTGGTTAGGGATATTTAGCGCAGGCTGATGTTTGTTGTGAAACAAACTGGGGGAGATCGCAAAAACACTTACTTCATCCTCTGCACGTCACAGATCGTGGCAGTGCAGCTGGCAGCTTTTTCAACTGGGGGAAAAGGGTTTTACCCAATTAAGGCATCACTCTGGCAATCTTTTCCATTATCGCAAAAAATAAAGATTTTAGAACTGAACCACAGGGTTTTTTTCACAGGAAAATTAACATGTTAAAGACATGAGATTTAATGAAAAACTTGTAATATTCAGGAGACTCAACTTTGTATTGTCACACATTGAGAATTCAGTTTGGGCGAGAGCAATGAGGTGTGAAATGTTTTGTGGGGCTTTTCGTGACACTGAAGCAAGTGTACTTGGAGATTCAAAAGACTTCCGACAGATTCCCACGCAAACGTCTGCTGTGGTTAACCATGACCAGGGATGCTGTGGGATATCGTCTGGTGAGATGAGACGGGGTATCCCGCAGTGCTGAGCTGCAGTGAAAGGCGCCTCAGGGCAGATTTATTTGCGTCTTTCTTCTGTCCAGGTTTGTTTTTTGAAAGAACGAGGCCTGTATTACTCGTTTGTCCGTCCGCTCCACCTGACATTTTGGAGCCAAACTCAAGGAAGAGGGAGAAGCCTCTTTCCCTCCACAGCTCTTGCCTCGGCAGGGGGTGGAGGTCAGAGACCGAATCGGGGCGGGCTGAAGCTTGAATCCCCGTGTGCTGTTTGGCAGCGGTGCCCTTGCACGCCGCTGCGATTTGGGGTGTCTTGGGAAGCCGTGCGGGGGGGGGGGGGGGTCTGCACCGCTGTGATGCGGGGAGGTGAGACGGGAGGGTGCGAATCCGTGGGTCGTTAACCTTCCTTGACTTTCACAGCTCATGGGAGACCTGGTTTGGCTAGGTCCTGGGCTGCTTGGGGTCAGACTTGACGATCTCTTGCCAGACAAAACCCAATGGCTTTGCACGTGCCACCCTGAAACCGTGTTGTTTTGTTTCCCGAGTTCGGTGGCCGTGCGGGGCTGCAGGACGTAGGTAGGTTTTCCCCACGTTTTCCCTCGAAGTAGACAGCGCTGTGCTCCGGGCTGGGGGTTGGCGCGGAGGGTGGCTGCGCGCCGTGGCGGGTTGGCGCTCCCCGTAGTGCGGGCTCCCGCCGCAGCAGCGGTTCCTCCTCCCTGCTGCGAGCTGAGTGCAGACGTGTGGGGCGTAGGGCGCTACGTAGAAGGCAGGCGTTCCAGCCGGCAGGGCCCTGCGCTTTTGTGGCACATCGAACCGCGCCTGCTGACTCGCCGGCACCCTTCGAGCAAACGCCTTCTTCACGGGATTTTTCCTGCGGGTAATGGGTGTACGGTATTCCTTGTTTTCCCCAGTAAGCTGTGAAGCTTTAATGCACCTATATAAATACACATATATCTCTTCCTTCTGAAGAGACCCACGGGATGTAAATGGTTTGGTTTCATGCCAGTCTCCTCCGTGCAGGTACGCTATTCTCTGCGGGCATTTGGCGGAACATGAGAGCATTCAGAAGCGCATTCAAACCGGGTATGTTTTTAAGGTGAGTAGAACGGGCGTGCTGGCTTCTGTGTAAGTATGGAACAGTTCTTATTTCTGCAAGTCAGGAAAGTTGGCTCCAGCTCTTGTTAGGGAAGCGGTAGGTCTGAGAGATGTCCGAGGGGGTGGTTTGGGCTGAGGAGGGTGGTTCTAGTGACGTGTGATGAGGGTGACTGGTCTGGCTTTGCGCTTTTGCTGACTATAATCTCAGAAAAAAGAAGAAGAAAAGTCTTGCAAATGAATTGTGTGTGTGTGATGAGACCGAGAACTTGAAACATGGAATTACCCTGTGGTGATAAGAGGCAGCACCAGCTCTTTTTCAGTAACTGCCTGCGAGGACGCTTGCGCCCTCCCGTAAATGCAAAGCAGTTATTTTTCAGAGAGGGATTCATCTGCCTCAGGTTCCTTTATTTGCCTTCCATCCACAGCGGGGATGCTGCAGGGTACGGGGCTGCACCTGGGACGGTTACTGCGGCACAGGCCATGTGTAGCTATTACCTCCCGTGAGCTGGTTGTGTCAAAGCTCTGAAGAGGTGTTAGAGTGAAATGAATGTCAGCTGTATTTTTGTGTGGGGGTGTTGTGTTTGCTTGTAACAGACATGTGATGGGTGTTGGTGCTGGTTCTCCGTAGGAACACATTGATAAAGCGATTGAACTGAAACCAGAGGATCCAAAGTCTTACTACCTTTTGGGCAGGTGGTGTTACCAGGTAAGACAGTTTATTACAGCTTGTTGCTGTTTTCTTCCTGCTTGGAATTTAACATCCTGTTGGAATGAAAGACAGGTGGATTCAAACCACCAGCCGTGGGGACTGAGGACACTCTTTAGTGGCTGAGCTCAGGTGTTGTATCAGGAAGCGCTGGCGTGGAGATGTCCTGGTTGCTTGAAGAAGTAGTTTAAAGGTTGCACTTGCACGGGGTCTAGAAACTCTCCAGCTCTGTCCTGAAGCAGTGCCGAGAAGAGCGCTCCACGGAGGAGACCGTAAGCGTGTTGCGTTCAGAAACCTCGTCTGAGGTAGAAGCTCGTGTTCCCGTCCGGGCAGCACCTCGGTGCTTTTATGAAAGCACTGCTGGAAGCGCCGCCTGCCAGGACACGGCGCCGTTCAGCCTCGCAGCTGCCCCCCTGAGCTGCTTTGCTGGCCTCGGGAGGCCTCAGGCAGCCCGTCTCCCGCTCGCCTGCCTCCCGGCGAACCCAAACCGCTGCCTTCGTGCCGGCGGCGCCGCTCGGAGCCCGGCGTTGTGAATGGTGCAGGTTTGCAGCCAGAGTTCGTGGCAGCTCGTAGAGGGGCTGCAGAAGGAGTGAGCTGCCGGTGAGGACCCGGCCTGGCTGAGCCCGTGTCCAGCGCGTTGCTCTGCGCTCACGAGCGGAGGGCAGGGGAGGGCGGAGGAAGGCTGGTGGAGTCAAGACACACGTTTAAGAGCACAAAGAGTGCGGTTTCGTATTGGCAGTGTCGTTTGCTCTTGCTGCTGTAATACTCTTGTCCTGGAATCAACAAAAGGCTGCAGAAGTACGTGGTGTTCCTCGGTGCCATGGAGTGAAAGCTGCCGGGCTTTTTGCCGTTACGCTTGTTGAGTGCCACTGTTCTGCTCTTCATTTTTCCCCGTCTTTTGTCTCTTACCCAGAGGGAAGCTGTTTGCTAAAAGTGTTATTTCCAAACTGCTCTGAACCGGAGCTCTGAAGGGCTCGGGGCTCTGGGCTTGGTTTTTTAGTCACTGCAGGCGGCATGAAAAGGCAAAGAATGGATTAGGAGAAGCACTAGTTGCAAACTAGCTTACTGTTCCCCATGCTTTACTCCGTGAAATAAAACTACCTTCAATCCTTTAAGCGCATATGGATGTGATCAAGGACATTTCAGGGCTGGCAAGAGCTTCTGCACACAGTATATCTGTATAATCCTTTGCATGTGGTTCCTCTGCCCTTGCTGCACAGCGTATTGGAGGTATTAGAAGCAGCGTGCTGGCTGCTTTATGTTTCTTGACAGGGAAAAGCTTGGAATCAAATACCATAAATCAGATTTAGTGCCTATAAAAAGAAATAAGAGTCTGCAGTAACTATCTGCTTTTCAGTTTACACAATTTGAAAGCGCTTCGCTGCTGTCAGAGCCAAAGTCACATTGCAGAGATTGTGGCCGAGATCATTGACACCAGTAATTACAGAGTGGCAGTGAGCTAAAGCAGTGGAAGCTCCTAGCTCCCTACTCCGTTGACTTTCTACTAAGCCTTACTGCTCGTAGAGCTGCTGAAGCTATGAAATAAAACCAGATGTCTGTAGAAATATGCTAGTGCTTCTGCTGCATTGTAAGAATTGCACAGTATGAAACAAAGGAGATTTTATCCCAAGTTACAGCCTTATGCATCCTTTCCCCCACTGGAATTTCAGGGTGTTTCTCATTAGAGAGAGAAGAGAATAAGATTTCATGAAGTAATTACAGTAGCTACCTATTTCTCAAAATGTGACTCTCTGTTGGTGGGAAGGCTTCAGCCTGCCCCTCTCGAGGGATCTTTGTGGGGTCCTGTACCAGAGTTAAGCCGGGAGGTGGGAGGGCTCCACGTGTCACCCGCTGCCCTGCGTAGGGGGGAGCTGCCGGGAGCTGGTGGGGCTGCAACGGGGCGGTGTGGGGCTGGGGCCCACCCGGGTGTAGAGACAAACCGTGCTTGGAGCGTTGCGCCCGTGGCAGCTGATGGGTGCCCCGCAGAGGCTGACCTGCGGCCTAAGCTGGGGTCAGGGAAGAGCAAAGGGGGGTTAACTCCATGGCTGGCCCTGGATACTCATCCAGGATGTGCCGGCACTGCCGAGATCCCTGGCTTGCTCCCAGGCGCCCGAGCCAGCTACAAGAAACTGTTCCTTGTCTGGACACTTTTGCAGGTGCTGTGTCTCTAGTGGGTTTGACAGCTTCTTCCTACCGTCTCTGCAGGTTTCCCATCTGGGATGGCTTGAAAAAAAGACTGCTGCTGCCTTGTTTGAAGCCCCCCCTACAGCCACCGTACAGGACGCGCTGCAAAACTTCTTACGGGTAAGGCAGTCTGACCCCACGGGAGCGGCTGGCCGGGCAGCGGCAGTCCCAGCGTGGAACTGGCGTGCTTGTGTTCCGCCCAAACTCGCCGCTCCCGGGGTGCTCCCTGATACGTCTCCATTGACTGGAACTGCTGGAAGAAAAGCTGGCGGAAGCAAACATTTTGGAGGCTCTGCTATAGAATAGCCAGAGAGAGGAGCGTGGTTTTGAAGACGTCAGGACTAGACCCAAAGTGTTCAGAGCTGGTTTTAAGGGTTTTGGTTTTCCTTTTGGAAACTGCGTAGTGGAGCTGTTCATTGCTTGATGCTGAATGCCGGGGGTCTGTGCTCTTCCAGGGTCGGTGAGATCTGTTTGGGCTCATCCCTGAGAATGCTTGCCCAGATACAGTCTGTCATTTAATTTCTCTCAGAATATTTTATTAAAAGGCTGTCTGATTAGGCCGGACTTCTCCATTTCAGACTTTTGCAGACAACTACTTCAAGGTTTCAGGGACACATTTCTTTCTAGAAAGAAAGTAGTCCTAAGAATTCCTACGCTGTAAGAGTCCTACCCTCTGAATGGCTTTTTTTTTTTTTTTTTTTGTCCTCCTGTTGATGAAAATGAATTTAAGATGTGGCCTGAGCCGCATGGTTGAGCATGTAGCTCTTGTGGCGAGGGACTGCACAAGATGAATGAATTAAACAGACTGGCTGGGCCTGTGAGAACTACTCTTAAGCACCTCTGATGAGGTGTTACAGAGACAAACTGCCCTGGCACTTTATAACTCGTTGATTGGGCCGGCAGTTCTGCAGAGCCTCAGGGAATATCGTACTTGTTTCAGTTTCTTATTATTTTGCTGAAGTGCCGTTGTTTGAGAGGGGAGCTTGTGATGGGTATCTGCCCTAGGCAGCGCACTTTTCAGCCAAAGTGGTTAAATCATTTCAGAGGTAGGTTTGAGGCAACCTGTTTTGTTTCCTTTCGTTAGAAAGGTCGCACGTCACTTTTGTGGGTGAGGTAGAGCAGCACTGCGGTTTGAAACAGGAACTTGCATTTTTCTGGGGTTTAGCTTTGGTCAAATACAGAGAGAATTTTACAAGGACACAAAACCATCCCTCTGGAAGCTAATTACACCCTGGACAAGTGCACCTCCCGTGTGCTCAGCAGAGCCCAGTTCAGCTTTCAGCCGCACTCGCCGTGCCGGGGGGTATGGAAGTCTTCCTGCAGACTGCAGCTCGGGGTTAGGCACAGGCTGAACGAGGTCTGAGGCCAGACAACGGCGTCAGGAGGAGGAAGGTTGTGTTGTGTTGTGCTGTCAGGGCTTCCTCAGGCGCCTCGGCAGAGCCCGCTGGGAGTTGGAGTGCAGACGGGATACGGGTCAAGCCAAGGGTTCGGGGTAGGAACGTACCGGAGCAAAGCTGCTTGGAGAGTGAGGGCTGTGGCTGAGATGAACGGGAGAAGGCAGAGGCACCTGAGTAACGGGGAAGCTGGGATTTAGCAGCTGGGAAGGAGAAGATAAAAACTGGGGGAAGATTCCTGAGGTTTGGTACCAGCATATTCAGGAGAAGCCCAAGCAGATGAGGCTGCCTGGGCAGGGAGGTTAAACGCAGGGCACGCACACGTGCAGGAGGCCGTCAGGCTGGTTTGACAGAATCACAGGATGGTGGGGGTGGGAAGGGACCTCTGGAGATCATCCAGTCCAACCCTTCTGCCAGCACAGGGTCACCCGGAGCAGGTCACACAGCACTGCACCCACGTGGGCCTTGGATATCTCCAGGGAGGGAGCCCCCACAGCCTCCCTGGGCAGCCTGCTCCAGGGCTCTGCCACCCTTAATGTAAAGAAGTTTTTCCTGTGCTCCAGCTTGTGCCCGTTGTCCCTTGTCCTGGCGCTGGGCACCGCTGAGAAGAGCCTGGCCCCATCCTCTTGACTCCCACCCTTTACATATTTATAAGCATGTTAAGGTCCCCTCTCAGCCTTCTCTTCTCCAGGCTAAAGAGCCCCAGTCTCTCGGCCTTTCCTCCTAGGGGAGATGCTCCAGCCCCCTCCTCATCTTGGTAGCCCTTAGCTACTAGGTTTTCCCTTGGCTTCCGAGTGCTCCGCTTCACCACCTCGCCCTTCCTCCGCGCCCCCTGCATTAGGCGAGAGGACGAAGGTTGTTCACAGAGTCACCGGCGCTTTGCGAGAATCTGAGGGCGTTACCAACCCAGCCAGGCGAGCCTGAGGGAGGCTCTTACACTGATCTAAGGGGTTTAGTCCTCTCTTCTTATTTTTCTTAAAGAGATGCCATAAGCCTGAGAGAGGCATTAACGGTGTCCTTTGCATGTCCTAATGTCTGCTTGTCTGCCTGTCCCACCCTCCCCTCTGTTCTTTGTAGGTTGAGGAACTGAGCCCAGGATTTTCCAAAGCGGGAAGGGTCTACATTGCCAAGGTAACCGGTCACTTGTTGCTTTCTTTAGGTCAATCAAACACTTCTAGGGTAAGAAATGTTTGTATTAACAATTCGTCGTTGGCTGTGAAGTGCTAAGCGCGTGTAAGTTCCTCCATGCAGAAGCAAGATTTTATAAGATGATAAAATCTCTAAAAAAGGCCAAATCATCTAGTGCAGAGGCATTAGAGTTTTGCCTTTGGGTCATCCAGCGGAGCATCCTTCTTGGGTCTTAGCAGATCAGGTTCTGTATAAAGCAGCACTGGTAACTTGTAAACTGCAGGCTGGAGGTTTAATCCTCCCGCCACCGTGGATTTCTGTGGTGTGCACAGCGGGAGGATCGCGGGGCAAAGCAAAGGGCACCGTATGTCTCTGGTTTAGTGATGCAGGTGGGAGTCTTGAGCAATGGTCAAATCCACCATGCGTGCCTGGAGCTGGAGCTCTGAAGACCTTTGTGTTGAGGGAATAACTGGTTCTGAACTCTTCAGTGTTCAAATTGCTGCTTAATTCCTACAACCTCCTGCTGGGGTCTAGAAATATTTAAAGCCCAAATAACTTTAGAAATATTAGCCAGAGTGGGCGTAGCAAAGAGTAGCTGCAGTCATTCCCTGTGAAATTGCTGAATTCCCAGTGGCCCAAAGGATGTGAAGTTTATCAGGGGAGCGTGCAAGTCGTAGGACCTGCTCGGTCTGGAGTGCGTTACTGCTGGAACCTAGGCGCAGAATTTATGTCGCAATAAGCCTCTCGTTAAAGGAAAATGAAGGTGAGGGCAGAGGAGGAAACCCAGCAGGAGGTGGAGCGGCCTCCCCGCCAGCTGGATTTTGTCTTTGATGTGTTGCAGCTCACTGTGTGCAGTTGATCACAAGTCGGTTAGGTAAAATCAGCTGCCTGCTCGTCAGCCAGCCCTCTGTTTCTGGCTGCTGAGGTACCATGGTGGGGTGGTTTTTTCCAAATCCCGGGCTCCGTCACTTTGGGTCACATCCTTAATCACAAAATGTTAAAAAGTGCAATTGGCGCCTAATTATTTTGCCCTGCTCGCAGCAGAGCAGGTCGTCCCCTCTCGGAGCTGTCCCACAGCGCAGGAAAACCGCCAGAGCACACGTGCTGTGGGGTGGCATTTCGGTCTGAAGCGATGGCCCAGCGGGAGATCAGCCCTTCTCCTTCCCCTGGCTGCGCTGTGGGGCGGTCATGCCAGGGTTAGGGGCGTTGCTGGGGGGTCCTTCAGCAACCGCCTCCTTCGGCCGTGCTGCTTCCGTGGTCCCCAAATGCTCCGGAAGGCCCCAGAGCCTTCCTCTTCCAGAGGGATGACTGTTCCGCTGCTGTTGGAGGAGAGTTCGTGACGGGAAATATTTCACACCTACTGCGGAGCTGAGAGGCCTGTACGTGTTGGGGGTTCCAGTGCTTGCCGCTGAACCTCATTTGTAACGGCCGTGGGAATGCAGGCTTTGGGAGGTGATGTGCTCTCCGTAGGGAGGTTTTATGGGGAGAGCGGTGTGACGAAGAGCGGCTAAGTGGAAATAAAAATAGAGCTTCAAAAATGGTGAAAATCGCAGGGACGCGTTAAAATCTCCAACCAAAAAACCAATCTCCTTGCCCAACCCAAAACCAAACCAAAAAAGGAGATCTAGTATTCCGTAACGTGATGGTGATTATAATCCTGTGTGAATGAAGGACACTGCAGGAAGCGTCAGAAGCCTGAAACCATACGGAGCAAGTGGTTAAGAGGCAGGAGTAGGTCCTTTCGGCAGTTGCCAGGGTCTGTAACTGCTCGGTTACACTTGCTGCCGTTTTTCCTGTTTCACTCTTCTCACGTCGTCCTTTTCTCCTCCCAGTGTTACAGGGACCTGGGGAACAACACCGCAGCGGTTCTCTGGATGAACCTTGCCGCCGAGCTGCCAGTCCAGACAAAAGAGGTAGCGGTCTCAGTGAGCCCACGTGGGTGATGAGCACAGATAAAATGGTTACAGAGACAAAATGGGTTTTAAAAGATGTTCCCGCTTGTAAGCCCAGGTTTTAGAGTATTTTGTTCCCTAGTGTGGACTCTCTTCTTCTCTTGGGACCTGTTATCCAACTGCCTAAAGCCATTCAGCAAAATAATGAAGAACATTCAGAAATGGAGAGGACCTCTGGTACGGGCTTAGAGGCCGAGCGCACCACGAGGCAAATCCCGGGCTGCTGCGGGGCGAGGTTAGGGACGGTCTGAAGGCCCAGCGCGTACCCAGCGCCGCAGCCCGGCACCCCAGCGGCTGCAGGACCTCCCCAGCGCCCCGCCTCGGGGAAGGTTTGTTCCCTTGGGCGCTGCCGTGCCTGGCCAGCTCCGTTCAGATGGCGCCACTTCGGCTGAGGGCTTGTCCTGGGGCTGGAGCGCTGGGTTCCCGCTGCTGGTGGCCTGCGTGGCCTCGGAGGAGCTGCCCACGTTGAACTCTGCGGGCGCCGAGTTCGCCCCTGAGCTCCCCCAGGCTGGAGCCGATGGTGCTGAGCCGTTCGGAAGTTTGTGTGAGCTGCCCAGCATCGATTTTTTTTCTTAATATCCAGGGTGTTTCAGCTCTTGTGTTACTTCTACAGGGTTTTGGCGAGCAGACTGTACTGTGTTTTAGGAACTGCCGTCTGGCCGCGTTCCCCGGCTGGGAGCTCCTGTGCACTTTCCTTTTCTTGTGCACTTTTCCCGTTAAGCAGAAGCTGCGTAGAACGAGCCCTCGGGTTGCTGCCAGTTAGAAACTGAACAAAACCGGCTCAGCTTTTAATATTAGTCTGAGGTTCTTTGCACTGCCATGAAAATTGCAAGCGAAGTAACGTAGGCAAGGTCCTCCAGCTCTTACAGTTTCAGCCTTCGTCTGGCAGAACAGACGTTTCAGAAGGCAGAGTTGCAGAAATTCGCAGCGTTTTCAGGCCGCTCTGTTTTTAAGGCCATCGTTAGGTTTTTTCGGTTGCTGTAGCGAAAGTGTTGTGCTGGGACTGAAACCACAGGTATGCAGGAGGTCCTGGCCGAGCGCCTGGCAAGGAGCTGCCTTGGCTGTGCAGGGCACTGCCCCGCACTGCATAAACCACCGGGCTGCTGCAGGCCTGGGGAACCAGGGCACGGGGCAGGACCCTCTCCCTTCCTGCAAAGGACGTTCCCCGGCTCTGCCTGGTGAGAGCTTCCTCGCTGGTCGGAAATCTCTCTCAGCAGAGCTGGTAGAAAGAGGATTTTTTTCCAAAAGACCGAGAAATAGATGTGTTGGAGGCATGAGAGTTTAATCAGAGAAGCCTTGAGATTTTCAGGAGAGAGCAGGCGGGAGCTCCAGGCAGAGCAGTCACGAACAGTTAATTCTCTCTCCTGCTCTGAAATGAAAAGTGGGAGCCGAGCGAGGAAGCCAGCGCTTCAGTGGCTTTGCTAAGTCTTTGCAAGTGTTGGTTCTCGTCACCAATCCAATAGCTTCCATCACGCTGAGAAGGAAAAACAAAGGCTTTTATCCAGACTGTGGAAGTCGTGAGGGAGCAGAGGTTTGAATTCTGCTGGCCCGGCTGTCGGGTCTCGTCTCTCAAAAGCAAACGTAAGAGAAACTGTCTGTGATACCTGGAAAACTTAAATAGGCTTCAAAGTGGGTAGCGTTGGGAGGAGAGTACAGGGGAGGGAAAATGTCAGGCTGGGGGTATCCGTAAAACCTGGTGTGGGGCTGGAGGAGAAAAGGGAAATTCTCTTTTTTTAATCGTTTTGATTAGGCTGTGTATTTCTCTCTTCTCTCCTTGCGTTTCCAGGATGCAGAAAGCGAGAGGGAACTTGAAGAGATGCGGTCAGTCTGGGAAGAGTGAGTGTGCGCGGGCTCGCTCCCCTTGGTGCTGCACAGACAGCGACGTTCCAGTTCGAGGGGTTTCGTGGCCCTGGCAGCTTTGGTGGCGCTTCAAGGACAAGCCACGAGAGTTTACAGGGGAAAGCCACGCGGCAGCCTCGTCAGCACGTCCAGGAACAGCTCTGGGTGGGATTTAGTCGGATATAATTTTGTATTATTTTCCCTCTTACTGCACTGCCTATGTTTGATTTTAAAAGTCCTTAAAAATGTCAAATTCCTAAAACCAGGGGTGTGTGGGTGGGGGTGTATGGGCAGAATTTGTGACATAAAAATATTTGTGATGATCTGTGTGTCAGAGATGCGTGTGAGAGAGATGCTTTGTGGTATGAAATCCGTACGCAGGTACGTACAGATTCACGTAGGCCCACGGGTACTCGTGGCTTCTCTCCCTGCCGGCAGCCCGCGCCTCAGGCCTGCTCGCTGCTGACCCCTCTCACCTGGTGGCCGGGGACGCCTTCGCCCACAGGTTCTTTTCAGATGAACCGTTTTCTCTTTTCCTCAGCAGCATGTGTTACTGGAGCCAGGTGCAGGAGCTGATTTCACGCCTTTCACAGGCGTTCAGGGGAGAGAAGCGTCGAGCCCTGTGCTCGCCGGTCAGCGTGCCGCCGGTTTTTCCCAGCGGGATGCGCTGGGGGCCGCGGGATGTTCCCACTGCCCTCAGCCCGTGACTCCAACGGGCACGGACCCCGTGAAGGGACAGTTACAAACAAAAAAGAAGAGAGCAGCGACCCGAAATAAGCCCCTTGTCAGCCCTGCCTCCCTTGCTGCTGTCCGAAACGCACCCGTGTGGGTCCTTCCCAGCTATGCCTGAACCACCGTACTGGTGGTGTGCTGGGGGAGCAGCGCTGCCCGCCCCAGTGAGGTGCTGCCAGGGGCCCGACGGGGTCTCCCTCACGATACAGACTTTGTTTTGAAGAGGTGCAGTGCGTTTGTCAGAGAAGTGAGCCCCGAGATTCTGAGCCTCAGGGCTCCCTCCACTCCCATGAGACTGAAAACTTCCCGTGTCCCTCTAAGCTACGCTGCTGGGGTTTGGGGGTGACAACTCGGTGTGAAGGGCGGGTGTTCATCAGGGTGGCCCTGGCTCCAGGAGCAGGGACAGAGCTGCTGCTTCCCTCTGCTGTTCTTCTGCCCGTTCCTCACCCCTCTGGCGGCGCCGAGGCGGCGGAGCTGACGGCTGACGTGTCCCCCGGCGGCCTCTGGGTCCCAGACGCAGCCAGCGAGCCCCGCTGGGCGCTGACACGGAGGGTAAGGGGAGACCACGTGCAGAAATTTCCCCAAATATTTGGCAAGGCTTTCTCGGCAGCCCTGCAGACTCCAGCGGGCAGCTAACGCGACGCTCGGTCTTTGGTCTTTGTTACGTCCTGCCGCGTTGTGTGGGGTTTGTGGAGCGTGGAGTAAAAAAGCGCGGGAGTAAAACGTTTCTCCTTTGGAGTCCCTTGCACGTGTGCGTTAAACCGGTGGGTTTGTTGCTTAGTGAAAAGAACACTGAAGGGGAAATGTAGCAAAGTTGAGCCTAAAACATTCCCATTTTATAGATTGGGCACTTTTTAGCTTTTTTTTTTTTTCTCCCCTCCTCCACCTAAATTAAACTCTGTGACATTTTAGCGCTGAACCCATCTCATGAGATCCAGGCCGGTGTGTGGTGAGCTGTATTTGCTTAAAACGACAAAAATCGGTACTTGCAAAGGGAGAACTGAGTCCTGAGAGGCCAAAGCTGATCCCGGTGTTTTCGGGCCGAGCCCTCGCGCTGGGTGGGCGCTGAGCTGCCGTTGCAGGAGCGGTTCTTGTGTTTAACTGTGCTGCTCTGCCCGTTCTGCTGCGCGACGGTGGAGCTGCCTTGTCTGCTCGGCGTGAGCCTGTCTGCTTTTGAGAGTCTCCCAGTGGATGACCATTTTCTTCTCCCAAACATCCAGTCTTTAAACAATTGCCCAAGTTTTTCCGCTCTTTTCTTTTTGGTTGCTTAAGCCAAGCTGGGAAATCCGCACCGTCCCAGCGGGGATGATCAGCAACGTGATTCTCTCACGGAGGATTTGCAGGGTGTTTTCTGGAGGGACGTGGTCGCAGCTCTCCGCACAGTTGTGCCGTTGGCTGCGCTTGCGGCGCCTTTCCCTGCCGGTCCCAGGGCGCCGTTCGTCGCCGTGTTTGCTGGCGTGTGCGTTGCTCGGCCGGCGCTGCCTTCCAACCGCGAGCGGTCTCGGTCACAGCGAGGGTGCGAAGGGAGATTCTGACCCCACCACGAGCCCGTGGCTTTGCTGGACGCAGGCTCCTCCAGGCCTTCACCTGCTCTTTGACTTGTCCAAACACGAGCTGTTTAGAGGAGCTTTGGATTGTGCGTTCCTGGCGGTAATTCTGCGTTTCCACGGCTTTACGTTCTCCTTCGATTTTTTGGGGGGGTCCATACACCAAGAGACTGTAGGCTTGAGGGGAGAAAAGCGAGCTGGGCTGGCTTTGGCTGCCTCATCCCCTTTGTGTTCGTTACATCTCTAAGAGGGGGGTGCGAGGAGAGCGCTTTGTTAGTTGGTTAATTGCCCAGGTGCCTGTTGGTGGGCCGCAGCTCTCCAGACGAGCGGCCTCGGTTAAAGTTGTTGGGAAAGCGCTGCCGAGGGCTCTGGGTACAGACCAGCCCGTTGGGGTGCGGGGACCAAACCTCTTGGTTCTCTGACCGCGGCAGCTGAAGGCCTGTCCTCCTGGAGGGGAGAAGGCGCCTGGTGCAGTCGGGGGGGGCGACCAGGACCTTTCTGTCCCTGAGAGAGCGCGACCTGCTTCCCTGTTGGAAAGGGGTGATGGAGTTAGGGCGGTTCTCACGCCGTGTTCCTTCGCAGGCGCCTTCACACGGGTGCAGCCTCTCGGCTCCCAGTCCTTCCGTCGGCCCGTCGGTGCAGGCCTTCAGCGCTCCCTGCGCTCGGTTCCTCCACTGGCCTGGTTTTGTAACTGAGATGGGCTTCGGCGGGGGCTTAAAGGAGCAGGATCGGGCATTTCGCGTCCCCGTACCCCTCCCGTGCGCGGTCTTGCCCCTTCCTCGGGGGCTCTGCACGCCACAGGAACCGCTGCTCGGGTTCCCGTCCGGGAACGACTCCCCGGTGGCCCAGCGCCCGCCTGGCGAGCTGGGGGCGTTTGCCTGGCGTGTCGCTGTTCCTCCTCTGCTGGGACCTGGTTGACGCGTCTGTGAGACGACGGTGCCAGGCGCTGGCAGAACTCGCCGGTCCTTTCAAGCGCGGAGCTGAGCTGTGTGTTGCCGCTTTCAGCCTGGTCTCCGGGCGGTTATGACATAACCATCAAACGAACCTTTTTCACGTTGGTTTTCCCTTTTCTTGGCTTCTCGTGAACAAGAGGGATGCGACCGATGAACATGGTTCGGTTCTGCTTGCGGCGCTCGCAGGCTGAGGGGGGGAGAAGGCGAGGCTGTGTCACCACAACACTCCCAGCAGCGCTCGGGGGTGGTTTTTTCCTTTAGCAATACAACGTGCCCCCGCCTGTGGGCTCGGGGGGCCGCGTGCTGGGGAGGGGAAGCCTTCGTCCCTCCCGCGTGACAGGGGAGGGTGCTCTGCGGTAGCTGTCAGACAACACAAATCCAGACTCCTTTAACTTTCCCCGTGCTCTGCGGACTGATCCCAGCGTACGGCGGGAACGTCTCGAGCTGCCCGCGCTGTGTGCCTGCCAGGACCGCAAGCGGTTAATGTGCCTGGTGCAGCTCTGGTAGAGAGGCTCTGCCCTGCTCCCATCCAGCTGAGTTCTGCCGGACACATCCCAGGGTGAGAGAGGAGTTTCCTGGAGCTACTCTGGTCCTGATTCTAAAATGACTCCAGTCTAACTCTGAAACGTCCCTACCTGTGGTTAAATTCTGATACTGGCAAATAACTGAAGCTGTTTAACTAATTTGTCCTCCCTGGGCCGTTCTGTGTGAGATAGTGTTGATAAACAAGGAGAAGGGGACCCTGCTC